TCCCAACCAACAGAGAATATACATTCTCTTCATCTACAAATGAAACTTTTGTAAAATGTTGCTATAAATTTTTAAGTAGTACATTCGTATGGTATAAATTGAAAAGTAAAAAAAAAATTCTTACCCTCTGTTTCTCAAACATCTAGTTCTCCTTACTTGAATGAACTCTGACTGGTTTCTGTATGTTTGCAGAGATAGGCTATGTTTACATAAACAGACATGTATGGGTTTTTCCTCTTTTTTTCTGATATAAACAGTGACATACTATGATTATTGTGTGCCCTCTGCTTTTTATTTTTAATCTCTATTCTTTTAATAGTAACTATTGACATTACAATATGCACACTTAGCAAATTAACATTAATTAACACCTCTACCTTTTTTTCCAAACTGCATAAGTTAAAATCTGATTTGTACTCTCACCCCCACTATTTAATATATTACCAGAATATATAGCCTTCCAATTAGTAATTTATTATAATATTGCCATTTTGTTCATTCAGAGTTTATTTAGACTGACCTGAATTTTTACCACTTTCTTTGCTTCCCACCTTTTTCTTTTCATTTTATACTTTTTTTTTTTTTCTGGGATGAATTTCTCTGTTTTTGAAGTACACATATTTTAGGACTTCTTTCAGTGAAGATCTGAAAGACTGTGCTTTTATGAATATGTCTTCATTTCTCTGTTCCTGATGAAAAGTTTAGCTGTGTATGAAATTCTAGAATTACCTTTATCTTCTCTCAGCACCCTGACAATGTTATTTTAATAACTCTGGCTTCCAACTTTGCAGAAAAGTCTCTCCATTTATTTAAATTTTCTTAAATTGCTAGCAGTTGTTTTGAGTTAAATTGTGTCCCACTGGAAGTATATGTCTTAACTTCCAGTACCTGAAGATGTGACCTTATTTGTAAATAGGGTCTTTGTAGAAGTAGTCAAGTGTTCAATTCGGAGGTCACAAGAATGGACTTAATCCAATATGACTGACTTCCTTATAAAAAGGGGAAATTTGGACACAGATAGACATGGACAGAGGGAAGACAATATGAAGACCCGGGAGAAGACAGCCATGTGACTAGAATGCCGTATCTACAAGTGAAAGAGAGCCAAGGATTGCTAGCAAACACCAGAAGCTAGAAGAGAAAAGGGAGGATTCTCCCCTGGCCCTGCTGACACCCCAATTTTGGACTTCTAGCCTCCAGAACTGTGAGACGATAAATTTCTGTTGTTATAAGCCACCCAAAGTGTTCGGTACTTTGTTACAGCAGCCCTAAGAAACAAATACAGTTGTGTTTTGTGGTTGGCGATATACATGTTTTGCACATTTGTGGTTAAATGTATTCGTAAATTTTTCATGTGTTTGGGTATTCTTGTAAGCGATAGTGGCTTTGAAATTTATATTCCAGTTATCCATTGCTATTCTCTAAGAAATCTAGTTAATTTATGTATGTTGACTATGTATATATTCTGCAATCTTGCTAAATTGTTAGTCTTAATAAGTTTTTTATAGCTTCCTTAGGAGTTTTAAGCTCCCTGATCATGTTACTACTTGCTTTCTAATCTGTATGCCTTTCAGTTCTTTTCCTTGCTGTATTATACTGTAATGCAATGCAGTGCTGAACAGAAAGGGTTCGAGTGGACATCCCTAGCTAATTCTTTGTCTTAGGAGGATTGCATTCTATATGTCATGAGTGTGATGTTACCTACAGATTTTTTTGTACATGCCCTTTATTGATTTGAGGAAATTTCCTTTGGACTGGTTAGCTGAGATGTTTTATCATGAATGGGGGGGCAAACTTTATCAAATAATTCTTCTACATCTATTGAAATATTTTTAAACTTGTAGGTATAAATGAACTAACTTCAATATACATAAAGTAAACTAGAAAGAAAAATTAACAAATTCACCACCAATGAAGAAGTTTCCATTTTAATTTTTCTCAATCACTGGTAGGTTAGGCAAACAAAAATTTAGGAAAGATACAAAAGGATCAAACCACATAGTTCTCCTGTCAAATAAAGAAGTCCTCATCTAATAAATAATGACTTTGTATTCTTCTGTTATATCCATGAAACATTTGTAAGAATTATTAATATACTATTTAATAATTCATTTTCTGCAAATTTCAAAAACTTGACAATAGTCTATTTTCTTCAATGCCAGTGTTACTATGTCAATTTTTTAAAAAAATAATAAATTATAATCATATATTTGAAAAATTTTGAAAATAGACACCTTAATGAACATTTTCTTTTAAGATTTATTATCTCTGCAATTATCATGTGTTATTCAGTCAATTGTGCCTTGGATTTAATAATGTATGGTAAATATCTAATAGACTCAAGAAGAAAATACCTAGACCTGAACTTTAAATAATACACTGTATATAAATATTTTAGTAATGTAGAAAAATACTCAGAGGGGGAACGTTTATGTTAATAAAGATTAAAAGGCTGAAAATTTTGGCATATTCATCCAATTTAAGAGTTTAGCAAAAGAAGTGAAATAAATTCAAAGTAGAAAGAAAAACATCGTAACTATAAAAGCAGAAATCAATCAAGTGCAAAACAAATTTCCAGTGGAGCCCATTAGTCCCTTGAAATGGCAAAATAAACCTTTAGTGAAATTTATTGACAGAATAAAAAGAATAAAAAGAAGGTTTAGACAGCAAATGGAAACATTTCCATCAAATGGAAACAACAAATAGTATGATAAAATTATGAACATTGTAGCAAACACTGAAACTTGGACAAAGTGGACAAATTGCTATGAAAAATATAACTCACTGAACCTTGAATCAATAGGTCATTCTATGTCTGCTAAAAATGGACGTATATGTTATACATATGGAAAGAGCAAAGTTGTATCCATATCTCATACCGTACATAAATTCAGTGCAAGATAGACAAGGATATAAGTGCTAAAGCAAAGTTTATAAATTTCAGAAAAAAATATGAAAATATCTCTGTTCATAAGCTCAGGAATGATTTCTTAAACAAGACATTGAACACGCTACTTTTCAAAGGGAAGGTTGATATATTCAGTGACATTAAACTTAAGTACTTGAATTCATCAGGATGTTAAATGACAACATCCAAGTAGAGACAACATAATTGCATGTATTTAACCTCTGTAGAATCACTAGCAAAAATAGATCAACTTCCGTCAGGAGAGTAACAACATTTGGAAGGAAGCAACATTTTTAAATCACATATATCCCCTAGTCCCCAACTCTACGCACAACCCCACACAAAACAACTTATGAAGACTGATAAAATGAACTTCATTTTTTTGCTGGTGTCATTCTTATCTTACTTCAGAGGCAGATCTGATTCTTGACCAATACCAAAAGCATGAAATCTTTATACCCTAGTGTACCTGGCACATGAAACTAATCATTACCCTGTCCTTGAGCATTTACATTTTACAAGGTGAGATCTTGTTACCAGATGAGTAGCAATTCTTATTCTGTTTCTCCTCAACAGCTTCATCTGTGGTATCATTTTTTTTCTCATACATCCATTTAGAATGTATAGTATATAATAATTCTGTAAATCCTTTTGTGCCTAGTCTTTTGGGATATTGTGTGGTAATTATAATTTCCATATCAATTGGGGCTATAAGAAAGAGCCTGTGGTTTGATTGAGTTTAAAATTTTATGATATAAGCTTCGGATGGAAAATAGTGAACCCATTCTATGGGACCACATGATCAAAACAGATAGATAGATGTTTTTAATGTACCCATTAAAAGGTGGAAAACAAGAGTCCTTTCAACAGACGCTTCCCTCTCTCAGGAGGGCAGGGGTTCAAGCAAAAAAAAAAAAAAAAAAAAAAAAAAAAAAAAAATGTATAGAATATTTCTAAGAGAAAGTTGCAAATATTGGAGTACATTCCTACAATGTTTGATTATTGCTACTTTAGACAACTTACCCAACGTGAGCTCTTAGTGTTTTATAAACCTTATGGAAATTATTTACTTTCTGATAACTGAACTTAGTCTATTTAATGACTAATGTGTAGTATAAGTAGACAGACGAAAGAAGTCTTTCTTGAAATAGCAACACTGTTTTCATATACCAAAGCGTTTTCTGATTATAAGGAAGGAAAAAAACTATAACAACAGATTCTATTGTGTGAGATGTGCCTATTTTAAGACACATGTAGGAGATGAGAGATATTTAAAAACATTATAACATGTTTATATATGTGATATATTTCATAATTACATGTGAAGGAAATCTGCTTTCGCCATCAATTTAGTGGTGTTTTTGCCATAGCATGATTAACACTTTAAAATTTTGTAAGAGATTTCTTTTGTAATAGAAACTCACACACAGAGGTCTTGTATTATGATAATTATTACTGCTCTGTTTTAGGCTATAATCTTAGAAAATATAACATTTCACAATTTAAATGTATTAATAAGCTTGTGGATGATTTATTTCTCATTTTCTTTTCAAACCAGCGGAGGAACAGCTAAACTAATAGTAAAAGAAAGGTGTCTCTTAAATTATGCTTCTTCTCCATGAGTGTGAAAAATGAAGAATGGGGTACATTTAATTTATTAGTCATGCATATTAGAAAAAAGCCCATGAATGCTTTTGAAATAACATACTGTCTTGCTTTGAAACTTGTATAGACTTGAGTGTCTTTGTCTAAAAGCATCTAAAACTGACTTGACTTAGCTATTTTTAACTTAGCTTTTTGTTCAATAGATTTTATCAATCGGCATCAAACCACTTACATATATTATTTGGTGTTTAATATTATTTCAAGTTTTAGGACATTTAGGAAATTTTTTAAGAGTAATTTAAGAACAATATCTTTACATCATGAAATATGTGTAAAAGTGTGAGCGCACAATGACTTTCTCTACTTTTTATTCTCAGGTGTGTTTCATTCAGAATCCTTTCATTTGGTTTTCAGGTTGATGAGGAGTTTTTTTTTTTTTTCCCTTAATAATCAGCAATTTTAATTATTCCTGTTGTTTGCTTCATAGGGTCAAAAAGAATAAGTGATAGTGAAGTGTCTGACTATGACTGTGATGATGGAATTGGTATAGTATCAGGTAAGAATTGCAGAATTCCTGTGTAGTAATAAGAAGGAAGTGTTATTCGCTATTTACCAAAAAATAGATTAAATAATAAATAAAATGAGAGAGAAATAACTTGCCTCTTTTTCCCCTTCCCCCAAACAACATTATGGCACTTTAACCTCCTGAGTAATTCCAGTTGCTGGAACTCTTATCAATTGTTTGATTGAATATTATTATTGAAAGATGTAAGATAAGTGAATATTTCTAAGTTTTCTATTTTTAAACTACTCAAAAATAAGGATTTCACCATAAATTTGGAGAGCTATTATGTAACTAAAACTTCTTTATACTGCATAGCCATGTGAAAAATATGAAAATCTTTTTGATGTCACCAACATACCCAAATATGTCAAATATTTGAATGTGCTTTTTGAAAAAATTTTTACTGTGTTGTGTTGATTATGTATCAGGTACCGCTTGATTTTGAAATTATGTTATTGAAGTTTAAAATATTGCCTGATTTATGGTTAGAGATTTATCTGGGACTTAAACAAATGTGAAAATGACTTCAAATCCTTGAAATCTATCACCATTAGAAAGTTGAAGCATCTCCATATTCTTTTTATAAACATGAAAATCAGGATTATGGTATCGTGGTTTCTAAAATATTATCTTTCATAGGCTCATGACTTTCATAAATGGTGTACTAATTACATTTACATAAGTATCGTACTAAGATTTACACATGTTAATTCTGTTAAAAATATTTTTTCCTTGGGGCACCTGGGTGGCTCAGTCAGTTAAGCATCTGACT